GGATACTACTGGCTTCATTGTGACGACGCACTTGCTCACAGCTCTCGTCTGGCAAACGATTTGTTGCAGAAACACAGGGCTCTGAGGATGGGACAACCGTCTTTGAGTCCTGATATTAATCCTATTGAGCACCTGTGGCATAAATTGGAATGTGCATTGCAGAGGAGAACCAATTCCTAAATAATCTTGACCAATTCCGCCACGCTCTTTAGGATGAATGGGACAATATCCCACATAACAGAATTGTTACCCATGTTGAAGGCTTGTCGCGCCGTCTACAGGAGATAATTGCAGTACGCGGTAGACGCACACGCTGTTAGGCACGTGATCTTTAACGAGCACACCCTAATGCTAATTGTTTGTGAATTTGGTGACATTTGATGGCACCTTTTCAATTTTATAGATATTTCTTTACATCTGTAGAAGTAACAGTGAAACAGTCGATTTGAGGGGGTGCCTCTTATAAATTTTACTAAATGGTATAAAATATGTACATTTTCACCACTATTTTGTATTTTTTAACCATTAATCATGTTAGACACGGTATCCGTGATAAAAAGCACTATTTCTAACAGTTCACAGCTGTGGGGTGATCATTTGTAAAATAAAAGTACATGGAAATGGGGGTGGGACAACCTTTTTGACCAATGCTGTATATATATATATATATATATATATATATATATATATATATAGACTAGCTTAATTGTATTGGAATATGCTCTAGAAAAATGCTGAAATTGATTTTCTCTATTCATGAATTGATCTAATTTGCTGAACCATATGTTTTTATCTTTTTTTTTTTAGGATTAACTTTTTTTTCTGTATACAGCAACTTGAACAGTGTCTGATCTGGACCAGGGATTTATATCTTACTCTATAGATATAATTGAACACACATAGGAGAAGACATTTTTCTTTGTTAGCAGCAAAGTGAACAGCTTTTGTCGTCAACCCCTGTAGAAGATGGTGTTGGCTGGACTGTCAGCTACAGCCCCTGCCATGAAGACCTGCAGTGATTGTGAGTCCACTCTGGGATATCATGCCTTGGTAAGACAGCAAAACATAGCACATTAAGAACAGATGATCCGCAGTCTTACTGATCAGACTCAATATGGCCAACCCCCATTATCAGACTCGATATGGCCAACCCCCATTATCAGACTCAATATGGCCAACCCCCATTATCAGACTCAATATGGCCAACCCCCATTCAAAGGAGACCTTAATCCCTTGTTGATCTCACTGCCTCTACACACCACTACACAGATTAAATCTCGGCTCCGAGGTTAGTTGCTAGGCCCCTGTAGGTACGGCACGTGAGGAGACAGGGAGATCATTAGGTGCCTACGTATCCTTTTAACTGGTTAGTTGCTAGGCCCCAGCAGGGACGGCGCATAAGGAGACAGGGAGATCATCAGGCAGCCACCCTTTTAACTGGTTAGTTGCTAGGCCCCTGCAGGTATGGCACGTGAGGAGACAGGGAGATCATTAGGTGCTCCTTTTAACTGGTTAGTTGCTAGGCCCCAGCAGGTATGACGCGTGAGGAGACAGGGAGATCATTAGGTGCTTACCCTTTTAACTGGTTAGTTGCCTAGCCCCAGCAGGTATGGCACGTGAGGAGACAGTTATATCGTCAGGCAGTCACCCTATTAACTGGGTCATCCATATGTGATCCATGGATCTGTTAGTCCTAGGATCAACTTGTTGTGAATGTGGACAGAGAATAAGAACACCCAAGGATCAGCAGTATTACTCATTTGCAATTTAACTCAAAATATCCACCAAACTTTGCACATGATAAAACATTCTAACTCTGAAATTCCAGGGTTTTTTTTTGTACTGTCCAAATAACTGTGTGGAATAATTTATAATAATTGTACTGCATGATTTACTCAAATGATGTCTTAAAGAAGCTTTATTTATGTAATTTACATACCATGCATGACTGGGATATGTGAGAGATTTCTGTCCATAGATAGAGTCAAGATAAACACTAAGATTGTTATAAACAGGACTTGCTTTCACGTACCACACTTCCTCCAATTCTTGTAGAGGCAGATAGCTGAGGTGATCATCAGTGATGTGACTCACCCTGTGGTCTACATGTGCTGTAGTGAGTCTACCAGTGGCAGTGCTGCCCCCTATCAGGAAGAGTCATGGCAACAGCACCTGGACCACCTGAAGGCTAGTGTCACCAGTGCTAAACCCTGGATCTGGATACTGGATGTGAGGACCAAACCAGGAGAAGGTATTATAAACTGCCTTTAGTAGTTTTGTTAAGAAATTATGATTTAGCTTTTTATGTACAGACACACATGTACATATAGCTGTCACCTGTGTGTGTTATCGTCGTCTTGCACTTTCAATGTTATACAAATAAGACAAAGACAGTTTTACTTTTTCTGTTCAAACTTATAGAACTGTTCAATATTGATGAAATACGGCTCAAGTTTGAAAGTCAATTTTTCCAAAAGGTATGCTGTTTTTTTTTCTTTTCAGCATATTTTATCCACTGTCATACAAAAAAATGGAAACTGTTTTATCTTTTGTCTTCAAACATACAGTTCTAATGAATATTTGTAAAATACAGGTCAAGTTAGAAAATCTACCAGTTCTGACCTTTTTTTCAAAGTGAGTATGCTGTTTTTTTCGCTTTTTTCAGCATATTTTAATCACCGTTTTATGAATAAAATGAAAACCATGTCATATTTTGCTTTGAAACCTGCAGGACAGATATGAAGGTATGATATTGATTAGTTAATTTTTGTTGAATTTATGCTGTTTGATATATATAAATTGGTTTTCCTACTCAGATTCTATTCAATTCTCAGGCATGTATAAGGTGTCAGTATTTATCTTTTTATTTGTAAAAGTGTTCTTCAACATTTTTTGCATCTTAATTATTTTGTAAATTGCTTATAAAAATAATGGTAAATCTGTTATTATACTTATATGTATTGTATAATGAAGTGTCAAAAATGGAAATAAACTCAAATCAGTGCAGGTTGTTAGAATCTCAGGATGGAGCAAATTGGACATTTAACATTGTGTTATTGTTATATGTTAAATTAGTTAATCATTTAAAAAAGGAAGGTAATACTAATTTGGTTATTGTTTATTATATAATAAGTGCTGAAAATGAAAATAGCACATTTAAGTACTTGTGTGCATATTGGCATTTTCAGGGTGTGACTTTTGAGTTGTCTTGGGACTGAAAACCTTTGTCACATTTTCTAGATATCTATATTACTCCAGTGTTTAATTGAAAATTGGTGGTGACTATAAGCTGTTCAGCATTATATAACATTGTATCAAAATTGCTTAAAATATTTTGTGTATTGCCACTACCAATGCTCTAAAAGGTAAACTATGTTACTTATTATTTTTTAACTTACAAGAATGATTGACAAAAGCTCATAAGTAAGTACAGTATTTCTACTTCTGTTCAGAGTATAGTGTGAACACGTGATAAAGTAGGCACATTTCTGTTCAGAGTACAGTGTGAACACTTGATAAAGTAGGCACATTTCTGTTCAGAGTATAGTGTGAACACGTGATAAAGTAGGCACATTTCTGTTCAGAGTATAGTGTGAACACGTGATAAAGTAGGCACATTTCTGTTCAGAG